CACTCTTAACATTCTTATTTGACATAATTCTGGAAGTCCTAGCCAGTGCAATAAAGCAATAAAAGGAAATAAAAGACATGTACAGACTGGCAAGGAGAAATAAAACTATTCTTTTTCGGTAGATGACATCATCATCTACATAGGAAAGCCCAAGGAATCTACCAAAAGACCCCAAACAAACAAACAAAACTCCTTTTGTACCTAATAAGTGAATTTAGCAAAGTCCCAGGATTCAACAGAAACATACAAAAATTAGCTGTATTTCTGTGTGTTAGCAATGAACACAGTAACACCAAAATTAGAAATACAATACCATTTACAACTGCTCAAGAAAAAAAAAATGAATACTTAGGTGTAAATCTAACAAAACCTGTACAGGACCCTTAGGCTGAAAACTACAGTATTGATGAAAGAAACCAAAGAAGATCTAAATAAATGGAGAGACATATAGTAGTCCCCCTTTATCCTCAGGGGATATGTTCCAAGACCCCTCCCCTCAGTGGACACCAGGAACCATATATAGGTACTGAACCCTATATACATACTATGTTTTTCTATACATACATACCTACCTATTATAAAGTTTAATTTATAAATTAGGCACAGTAAGAATTTAACAACAATAACTAATAATAAAAGAGAATGATTATAATACATACTATGATAGAAGTTATGTGAAAGTGGTCTCTCTCTGTTTCTCAAAATAGCTCATATCCTTGGGCGCCTGGGTGGCTCAGTCGGTTACGTGCCCCACTTCGGCTCAGGTCATGATCTCAAGTTTGTGAGTTTGAGCCCCCCATCGGGCTCTGCGCTGACAGCTCGGAGCCTGGAGCCTGCTTCAGATTCTGTATCTCCCCATCTCTCTTCCTCTCCCCAACTTGTCCTCTCTCTCTCTCTCTCTCTCTCTCTCTCTCTCTCTCTCTCAAAAATAAAATAAACAAAAAGAAATATCTTCTACCCTTCTTGTGACGATGTGAGATAATACAATGCATGATGAGAAGAAGCGAGGTGAATGACACAGGGGCTGCGATGTGGCATGAAACTACTACTGACCTTCTGAGATACGTCAGGAAGAGGAACACCTGCTTCCGGACCGCGGACGACTCTGGGTAACCGAAACGGTGGAAAATGAGATCTCAGAGAAGTGGGGGGACCACTGTCCCCTAGTAATGGGTTGGCAGACTCAACATAGCAAAGGTGTCAGTTCATCCTAAATTGATATACAGGTTTAACGCAACTCCTATCAAAGTCAGAGCAATGCTTTTTTGTACATGTAGATAAGATTATTCTAAAATTTACACGGGGAGGCAAAGGAATTAGAATAGCTAAAATAATTTGTAAAGAAAAATAACGTGGGGGTAATCAGTCTAACCAATTTTAAGTATCAAATTTACCATAGGGCTACAGAAATCAAGACTGAGATATTGGCAGAGGGACAGACACATAGGTCAATGGCACAGAATAAAGAACCCCAAAATAGATCCGCATCAATAGGCCAAACCGGCTTCTGATAAAGGTGAACATACAATTCAATGGAGGAAAGGCAGCCTTTTAACAAATGGTGCTAGAGCACCTGGACATCCATAAGCAAAAAGTTAATCCTCATCTAAGTTGCACATCTTATGTAGAAATTACCTCAAGGTGAATGATGGACTTAACTGTAAAACCTAAAACTATAAAACTTTTAGGAAAAAAGCACGATAGAAAAATCTCTGGGATCTGGTCTCGGTAAAGAGTTCTTCGATTTGACAGCAAAAGCAGGATACAAAACAGGAAACATTGATAAACTGGACTTCGCCACAATTACAAACTTCTACCCGTCAGAAGGCCCTGTAAAGAGAATGGAAAGACAAACTACAGACTGGAAGAAAATGTTTGCCATCCATCCAACAAAAGGCCTGGTAGCTAGAACACACGAGGAATATTCAACACTCAAGTTAAAAAGCAAACAATCCAATCAGAACACAGGCAAAAGACATGAACAGATATTTCACTGAAGAAGATACACAGATGGCAAACGCAAATCAAAACAGCAATGAGATACCACTGCTCGTCTATCAGAATGGCTAAAATTAAAAATGGCAACACCACCAAATGCTGGTGAGGATGTGGAGAAACTGGAGCATTCAGTCATCGCTGGTAAGAATGTAAACCGGTGTAGCTATTCTGGAAAACGGTCTGGCAGTTTCTTAGAAACCTGCAAACGCAACTATCATCCGACCCAGGAGTTGCGCCTGTGGGCATTTATCCCAGAGAAACGAAGACTTAAATTCACCAAAAAAATCAAGACATGAATGTTTATAGCACCCTTATTTGTAACAGTCAAAAAGCTGGAAACAGTCCAGATGTCCCTCAACAGATAAATGGTTAAACTGTGGCACATCCATACCAGGGAATACTACTCAGTAATAAAAAGGTATAAGCCAATAAATGCAGCAACCTGAATGAATCTCCAGGGAATTATGCTGCGCGCAAAGCCAATTAAACAAAAAAAGTTGCATATTGTATGATTCCATATATATGGCGTTTGTGAAATGACAAAACTATAGAAATGGAGAACAGATCTGTGGTTATCAGGGGTTAAGGAGGGACTGAGGGTAGAAAGTGGGTGGCGATGCCTTTAAAAGGGCAACAAGAGGGACCCTAGTGGTGAAGGAAATGTTCTGTATCTAGACTTGTATGTATCAATGTCAGTATCAGGGTTGCAATACTGCAGGATAGTTTCCGTAAGATGTTACTATGGGAAACTGGGTTAAGGGTACATGGAATCTCTCTGTATTATTTCTTAAAATTCCATCTGAATCCATAATCGCTTCAAAATAAAAGGTTTAATTAGCAAAAACACTACTTTAAAAACCCGACGATATAAAAGGATACAGGCAATTACTATGTATTATAAAAAGCACACTTGAGTCTCTCAGTTTCAAAAAAAATTGAAATTACTATCAGGTACTACTATTAGGTCAAATTTTGGTTATGACTTGGGGAGTTGAAGGGAAAGAAATGGGTTTTCATTTCTGTCAATTTCCAGGAGAAAAAAACCCAAAGATACAGACCAATCTGTGTATCTGAGGTAAACCTCAGGTCTTAACACCTTTAATTTTAAGAAGGGTCCAAAAGAAATGCATTCTTTTATAGCTGTCTTTGAAATATTGTTTGGACTCCTCAGAAAAAATATGGCGTCCTTCACAGAATAGCTTATTCCAGAAGGGTGGGTCACAGCTGCAGTTAAAGGGAGACAGGAAGACACGGAGGAGTTGAAGGAGTTGAAGTAGAAGGAATGAGGCTGGGGTGGGGGGGACAGCTGGCCTAAGGGACAGTGGCCAGGACTTCACACCAGATCCCCTGGTGTGCCATCGACTTCCTCACCCTGCATTCCAATCCTAGTTCTGTCTCCTTTATTGAACATCAAGCAAATCACATCATCTCCGTGCCTCAATTTCTTTTTTTTTTTTTTAATTTTTTTTTTCAACGTTTATTTATTTTGGGGACAGAGAGAGACAGAGCATGAACGGGGGAGGGGCAGAGAGAGAGGGAGACACAGAATCGGAAACAGGCTCCAGGCTCCGAGCCATCAGCCCAGAGCCTGACGCGGGGCTCGAACTCACGGACCGCGAGATCGTGACCTGGCTGAAGTCGGACGCTTAACCGACTGCGCCACCCAGGAGCCCCTCCGTGCCTCAATTTCAAGCAAATCACATCATCTCCGTGCCTCAATTTCCTCCTCCTCAAAAATGGAGCTAAAAGTTTCTACCTCCTGTCAAACAGGATATTTGCAAGGATAAGTATCTGTACAGCCTGGAAATGTTTGAAAGAAAGGTCCCAAGAAATAGTATCTGCAAATGTGGTTCATTTAGAACATTCAACTGAAAGTCTATTTTATATGGGGAAACCTGCATAATGGAAGACAGTAATTTTGAAGGAGACTGGTGAAAGGGAAAGACAAAATGAATGAACTTTAAATTTTTTTTTTTTTCAACGTTTATTTATTTTTGGGACAGAGAGAGACAGAGCATGAACGGGGGAGGGGCAGAGAGAGAGGGAGACACAGAATCGGAAACAGGCTCCAGGCTCCGAGCCATCAGCCCAGAGCCCGACGCGGGGCTCGAACTCACGGACCGCGAGATCGTGACCTGGCTGAAGTCGGACGCTTAACCGACTGCGCCACCCAGGCGCCCCCAAAATGAATGAACTTTAAACCAAGTCGGTAGCTCATCTATATTTCTTCAGTTGTCCTCAGGTTACTGACGGCAAATTCAGCACTGCCCAAGCCATGTGGGGCCCCAATCCACCAGCAAAACCATCTTACTAGAACGGATTGTCCATAGTAGACGTTAAAGGATTGGAAAACAAAACAATTAAGAAACCAAAATCTCACAAGACTGCAAATCCACTAGGGACCTAAGCAGTGGTCTGCATCGTGCCACTGAAAAACGTTAAGAGCATGGAAATAAGCAGCGATGCGACTCTTCATTTCATTTTACCTGAAGCACTAATTGAATTTTGCCCAGTAGTTTAGTGACTCACTCAGGTCTGTCTGCCTGCACTTGAATCTAAGCTCTCTGATTGCAAAAGTCACAAGTCGCACTCATCTATGTCCCACGGACCATAACTTTGCGTGTAGTTGGCGCTCAGCGACTACTGAATTGAACACATGCTCACAAATATTATCGACCACTCCTAGCTTGAAGGAATATACTTAAGTTGTTCCAAAGCAGAGGCCGACCCCCTGGTATTTAGCTTCAGCCTTGTTAACTTATCGAGCAATGTTTTTTATCAGTTTCTCAATTTATCACAAGCTAAGGTCTGTAAGTGGAAATTTTTACTGATGATCTGGGGGGGAAAAAAAAGGTTTTAAAGAAAAATTCTGAGCCCAGAAGGACATGGGGCAAGACAATGAGAAACTCTGCGCTTTGACTGATATCGGGCGTAACAGCCTGCTTCTTATCAATAATTATCGGATTTTTAAAAAAAGTTTTAATTTTCTAGTATTTACTCACCAGTATCCAGTCTTGACTTGATATGCTGATACCTTGGGTTTTGTGGTATTCTTTTGGTTAGGTACTAAAAAATAAGAAAATTCACAAAATAATCAGGTTAATGTAAAAATAAGGGTGACAAAGGTGGGAAAGAGTCAGATACTTAAAAAACAGAACAGGTGATAACATTTCACCAAATTTAATGATTTTTTAAACATTTATTTATTTATTTTGAGAGAGAGAGAGAAACAGGAGGGGCAGAGAGAGAGAGAGAGAGAGAGAGAGAATCCCAAGTAGAGTCCGCACCATCAGCCCAGAGCCCAATGTGGGGCTCGAACTCATGAATTGTGAGATTGTGACCTAAGCCGAACCAAGAGTCGGATGCTTAACCGACTGAGCCACCCAGGAACCCCAAATTTTATCAAATTTAAAGAAGGAAAGAGCCCTAGAGGTCCAACTGTCCATTCAATCTAGGACTCTTCGCCACAGCATTTCCATAGGTGAGAATGGTTATCTTGTTTCCGTCAAAATATTTTCATTTTTTGTCAAAATAATCTCATGGCCCTATATAATTAGGAAGAAAAAAAAAAACCTCGTAAAAATTATTTCTGACATCGAGCCCAAACTAGTCTCCCTTTAGTTCCATCCAGTCCACTGTCACAACCCTGAACGAGACACCCTCCACCCCCACCTCAAGAAATCTGTTCAAATAACTAAAGGCAGCTCTCTGGTCCTTCTTTTTTAGTTTTACTCTTGGTATGATGAGGCCATCTCCTCTGGACACCCTTTAGATTTTCTCCACATCTCCCCTAAAAAGTAGCTTTTGGACCCAGACCTGAGCACGGCGCCCAGATGTTACTAGGCCGGGACCCTGCTTGGCAGTCCTCCCCTGCTGCTTGCCTGGAGTCTGAGGCTCCACAGATGGCATTGCGATGGCATCTGCTCTCGGGGCCACTAAGGCTCATCATGGGCCCAGGGTAAGTTTGTGGTCATCAGAGAATGCCTACGTCAGGTCTCCCTTGTCCTGTACTCTGGGAGGGACCTCTAAATCCAAGCACAAGACCTTTACCCATATTAAGTTTCACTGGCATTTGCGAAAGCCATCCAAGTGAGGGAAGGCTAGTGAATCGACATTTCAAGATCTAGATTTCTTGGGATGCCTGGGTGGCTCAGTAGGTAAAGCATCTGACTCTTGGTTTCGCTCAGGTCATGATCTCACAGATTGTGGGTTCGGGCCCCACATCAGGCTCTGTGCTGACAGCATGGAGCCTGCTTGGGATTCTCTCCCTCTCCCTCTCTCTGCACCTCCCCTGCTCGCTTGCTCGCTCTCTCTCAAAATAAATAAATAAACATAAAAAAAAAAAAAAGATCTAGCTTTCTCGCTCAGGCTTTTTTCTGGTCTACAAGTATGAAAATCATATGTTCAGTCACAGGTAGCTGTGGAATACGAAATTAAAACTGGTTAATACTTTTCTGGCTTCGTCTTCTGCCACTCTCACACATGACCCCATGTTAGCATTGCCCGAGTGCTCCCTTAATTTGCTGCACTCCCTCAGATCCTCAGGCTTAGCAAATGTCTGCCTAGAATGCCTTTCCTCGACTTGTCCTCGGACAAAACCTTACTTCCTCTGTAAGGTGTCCAAGGTGGAATTGGGCATTTCCTCTCCCAGGCTCCCAGAGTACCCTGTACCATTGTTCACACCCCACCCTTCTCTATATGCCCTTGGAGGCAGGGACAAAGACGTACTCATATCTGTGCACACCCAGGACCTAGTACGTGGTAGGCACATTTATTGAGATGCAGTCAACAAATGAATATCTAGAATGCAAAGTATATTACAGTAACTACCTGGTTCCTTGGAAGGGAACACCAAACTTTATTATTATTTCTTGAGATTATTTTTATGTATTTATTTTTTTTAAGTAATCTCTACACCCAGTGTGGGGCTTGAACTCATGATCCCAAGATTAAGAGTTGTGTGCTTTACCGACCAAAGGAAAAAAAAATCCGGTGGAGAACTAAAATGTAAAACCCCTATCATATGCTCTTGAAAACACAGTTAACTACAGCATGTCCTGTTGGCCAGAGTTTTGAATTTCAGAGACTAGGAAGAATTTCTAAGAACTGGGGGCACCCATAGAGAATTATCAACTTCTAATTTTGCCAAGAATGGTCTTTTATTGTTATTAAAAAAAACTCATGACGTTGTCTCTGGTTTTCATTTCACTCTAGAGAAGTAAAACCTTTGTCCTGAATGCTTAGCATTGGGCCTCAGATGTGTGTGTGGAACCCTAAGCTTTTTCATCCTTAGAGAAAGCCTGGAGAGCCCCCATTTCCATCTGACCAGTAATCTACTGTCTTTAAGACAAACTGACTCTAACACCAATTCCAACTCCGGAATTCCTAGATGAAGACGGAGAAGATTCTTAAGCGAGAGAAGGGAAATATTTAAAGACTAAAAGGGGGAACTTTAGGGCAAGATATCCCAGAAGACAATATCATAGCAAAACAAAACGAAACATCAAAAAAAAAAAAAAAAAAAAAAAAAAAAAAAAAAAAAAAAAAACCCAGAAAACCAGGGAAAACATGTGTCTGGTAAATTGAGTCAAGAAAAGCTAATAGTAGAATTCAGTTATCTTAGGCTAAGGGATTTTTTTTTTCATCTTTTTCTGTACTCTGTATTTTTATAATTTCTATATGCTATTTCCTGTTTTTACTTTTGTTTTGTTTTGTTTTCTGCTAGTTTCCTAGCAAAGTGTCTTTTGAAAAACTCCAGGCTAGTCTCTGCTGAACCAAGGGGATTTGTCCATACCTAAGCCAACATAGCTAAGAAGTGAGGGTGTCTCTGGGGACCAGGTGTGGTGGCAGCAGAATGATTGGGGGGGGGAGTGTGGACAGCTGCAGTCGCTGGGCCCCTCCCGCCCCCGGTTTTCCCTTACATAGACTAATGAGAAATCCATATGCTGCAGTAGAAAAATGTAGTGTCTCTTTTCCATTTTCCCAATTTGGTCCAACTTCTCGTTCCTGGCTTTCGAGTGCCAACCACAACGTAAAACTCTAAGGAGACCATCACAGATTTTATGGAACTTTCATACTTTTTTCCTTAAAATTCTTGTTTTGGGGGTGACTGTTTCTTGACCTACTGACCAACTGGCTTTTTCTTTTTTTTTCAATTACATACACAGGATGGAATGGTGGAAAGTGAAAGAGCTGAGAAAAGTTCTTTCAAGAAGGACTATTCATTCATTCATTCATTCATTCATTCATTCAAAAAAGACTTATTGAGCACCAACTCTTCAGCAGACATTTACTGGGTGTCTACTAGGAGTGAGCCGCCATGCTAAGCACACAGAGCCCTCCAGCTCTCAGTGGTGCTGGGAAGAAAGACAAGTGAACAAAGACAAGTGACTAAAAGAGTCAAGAACTGTGTCCTGAGCCATGACTTCCAGGCTGAAATCTGAGGGCTAAGAAAATGAGTCAAGCTAAAGGAGTGGTAGGTGGAAGGTAGGGTTTCTGGCAACTGGTAGACCTGAAGCATAGGGGGCAACATGGGGTCAGATGAGACTGAAGAAGCAGATGGGGGGGGGGGTGGCGTTCATAAAGGGCCTTGTATCCATCCATGCTAAGGAACCTGGATTTTTTTTTTCCTGTAGATGACTATCCTTAAATGGGCAATTTTGCTGCCCCCTTGCTCCTGGGGACAACAGTCAATGTCTGAACACCTTTTAGGTGGGTGGTGGCTGTGGTGGGGCTGCTACTGGTATCCAGTGAGTAGAAGCCAGAGATGCTGCGAAACACCCTACAATGACAGTCCCCCACAGCAAAGAATTAGCTGGCCCAAAATGTCAATAGTGCTAAAGTTGAGAAACCTTAGTGTAGACGATTGGGGAGTTACTGAAGAAAGTAAGAAGAAGTGATGGGATTATATTTCCATTTTAGAAAGCTCATTCTGGCAGCATTCTGGAGAGCTAACAGGATCATAGTCAAGGATGGAGGCACAAAGATCAATTAAGAGGTAGGTGTGCTAAGAAGATCTATGATGCTAAGAAAGTGGCAGAAGAGATGAGGAAGAGGAGACAGCTTCAAGATGTAAAATCAGTAAGATTGAAAACTGACTGGTATAGCAGGGTGAGGACAGTGTTACCATTCTCCAAAAAAGGGAATTAAGGAGGAAGCATACATTGAAAAACAGGAGGTTTTTCATGTTGAGGCACGTTCAGTGTGACGTATCTGTGGGTTATCCAAGACGGAAATGGTGAGCTGGCTATTTGGGTCTGGAGATCAGGAGGTCTGGGGTTGCAGAAGGAAGGTTTGGTGATTGTCAGCATAAAGGCAGCAGGGGAAGCCATAGGAATGGACAAAATCACCATCAGGGACCGTTTAAGATGAAATAGCCCAGCACTCAAGGTCTGGTAGAGAAAAGCACCATGTTTGAGACTCACGAGAGGCCAGAAGAAAGCGGGTCATCAAAATTAAAGAAGAGTTTCAGGAAGAAGGGAGTGGTCAACAGTGATCAATGCTGTCAAGTCCGAGAACAAGAGGTCAAACATGAACAAGTGAGCAAGAATGAAGGCCAAGTAAGAGAATAACAAAGTAAATTTGGATTGAACAAACCAGAATGTTGTTGACGGCCCTGGTGGAAGAGGTTACAGTAAATTGACAGAAGCAGAAGCAAAACAGCAGGTTGTATGAGATGGGGAGGGAGGAAAACACAGGATAGCAGCCAGATGGCCTTTTTTTGCCCCCTTGAGAGTTGCTAAGGAATAAGTTTTTCTTGTTGATTTGTTTTGTTTTGGAAGAAAGGAGAGATTTGAGGATGTTTAGAGGCTAGATAATAGAAGTTGGAAATGGAGCAAGAAGGTATGGAAATGAGGGAGTGGGAGAGAATGAGGCCCGGAGCCCAGGCAGAAGGCTCAGCTCTGGATACTGGCTATGTATTCAAGATAAAGATACCAGATAGGCGATCACAATGAAGTTCCTCGGGAGGAGGGAGGAAGCTAAGAAAGTTCATGGTTGTGATATGATCAGGGGCTCTTGGAGAGCAATCAAAAATGTGAAAGACTCTTTGAGGGCTTACATCTCTAGAAAGGTCCAAAGATAATGTGCTCCCCGTGTGGCCATGCCTCCCCAGCTACTTCACTTCCACTCTGCTTTCAAGACCCAGCACAAACATGTCTTCCAAGAAGACTCCTCTGAAGGCCCCAGTCAGATGGACATCTATTCCCTACCTGGACTGTCACGGCTCTTTGTACTAATCATGATTACTCCTTGCTTCCGGCACTTGGGACATGGCTCTACCTTCCAGATCTCTGCACCTGCGGTGAGGCCTCGCACCAGCAAGAGCGGTCAGGACTGCCTAATGGATGGAGATGGTTCTCACACCTGAGCAACACACAGCATGCGTGTCAGCACCACACGACGGCCCTGGGAGTCTGAGGCAAAGGGAGCACTCACACACGGCCGGGGGATGTGGGAGACTTTGCGGGAGAAATGGCACTGGAGCTGTGTCTCAAGGGTTGAACTTCTGTGGATACGATGAGAGAGGAAACAGGTGGGAAAAGCATGCTGAGTGGAGGCAATTCTAACAGCAAAGCCACTTTAAAGGCCAAGTGTAAAGAACAGCATGTTTTCGGTATGCGAAAGAAGGTACAACAACCGTAATGAAGGTAGCCGATGCTAACATTTATTGAACACTTAACCATGTTGTCGGGCACTCGACTAAGCATTTTACCTACATTATCCCATTTAATCCTCACAACAGCCTGTGAAGTAGATACCAGCATTATCTTCATCATACATAGTAGGAAAACAGGCACAAAGCGGAGTGACCTCTCGAGGTTACTCAGCGGGTGAGAAGGATGGAACCTGGATCGAAACTGGGTCGTCTGGCTCCAGAGCCTCCACTCTTCCACACTCATTCCAGGGTTCTGAAAATCAGATCCTCGGATGGATTTTTGATAGTCCATGAGTCCCGTGAAACTACGCAAAATTTTGTGTGTGTGCATTTTTATGGGGAAGGGGTCCTTGTTTTCACCAAATCTGCAAAGAGATTTGTGACCTAAAAAGGGTTAAGAACCAGGGGTATATGAAATCCTGTGCTGTCTGGTGGGACCATGGATAGGCAGGCTCCAAGTAGAGAACCCTGAATGTAGACGAAGGGCCTGGCGTAGGCCCTGAAGACAATGGAAGGTACCAAAAATACTGAGCCGTGAGCCACATAATTGCAAGAGTATTTTCGCAGATTACTAACACACAATTTATGAATCCATGGATGTTGGAGAGGAAGGGAGAAGTATGAGAATCAACAATGGGATTTTTCTGAAGGAAAGTCACTAAAAAACGAGTGGCATTGTCTGAATCTCAAGTCATTCAAACACGAATGAGCTTTTCTGACTTCCCACCTCTCTCAAAATGGAACTCACAAGGTTGGTTGTATTTCAATGGCAACATATGTAATAAGATTTGCCTTTAAAGGATTTTTAAAAATACCATTATACATTTTGTTCAGAATTTCCCTATTTATCTCCTTTGTATAGACAGGAGGTCCATCAAATGAAGGAAATGAATTCAATCTTGAAAAGAGCCTCATTTAAGGCAATCTCACACTTAACATAGGTCTTTTAGAGAGCTTTTTTTTTTTTTAAATGGGAGTTTTGATCTGGCCCAATTCTACTGATCTCAAACACTAACCCGGCCCCTGTATGCACATGCAGCAGCCCCTACTTTGCCAGCAGCTACTACCTATGGCTGATTGTATTTCTCAAGATGTTTGCAACAGAATTTCCCATCTCACTTACACTGTGATGTTGAGACTCCTCCCATGGTGGGGTGGGGCCAAAGTCTCCATCCCCAGCCCCACTGGAATCTGGATGGGCTAGTGAGTGTGATGGAAGTGCTGCCTTATGACTTCTGAGGCTAGATCCTAAAAGGCAATACAGCTTCCACCTACCTGTCCTGGGACATTTGTTCTTGGAATCCAGCTACCATGTTGTGAGAAAGGCCAAGCCACACGGAAAAGGCCATGTGTAGGTAGTATGGCTGACAGCCCCAACTGAGGGCCTAGCCAACAGACTGTATCAATGGCCTTGAAGAAGCCTTCAAGTTAGCTCTAGCTCTAGCTTCTGTCTGCCTGAAAAACCACAAGAGATCCCAAATGAGAAGTGCCTAGTCGAGCCTGGTCAGCCTCCAGGACCATAAGAGATCATAATAAAATGACTATTATTTTAAGTCACTAAACATGGGGTGATTCATGAGGAATCAATCTATAATCGGAACATATATTCCGATATATAATTGGAACACCCTCCCCTCCCCGCTTCCTTTCTAGCTAAGCAACTTGGGTGGGGCGGGAGGGGGGGGACCCCTACACTGGGTATCTGCACTTTACTCCTCTATCTATTGCATTGCAACATGGCTACCGTCCCCACTATTCTACTATGGTTCCTATGGCAGCTGGCCAACATCAGAGATCCCCTAATTGCTGAAAAATGGCTCCTTTTCATTCTTTAACTCACTTGACCTTTCTGTACCATTTGACACTGCTATACAGCCCTACCTTCTTCAGTTTCCACTCCCTTGGCTTCAGTGATACCTCTCTCCCCTGATTCTCCATTGACACATAGATCATTTCTGTCAGCCATTTAAGCACCATGTTCGCCAGGATTCCATCTTCTCAATCTATAGCTTCTCTGTGGGCCAAACACTTAGGTTGAATTCCCTTTGTATGCTTCTGAAATCCAAACAGGGAACTGTAGCCTGACTTCTCCTCCCAGCTCAGCCATATATTCATGTACTCATTCAACAAATGTTTATTTGCATGCCAGGCAGTGCGACAATGCATACAAGTTTATGTTCTTGTAAGTATGCCAGAAATAAACAAATAAATAATTACAGATCACAAATAAAATAATTACAGATCATGAGCTACTGGATGAAGATAGCATATTGAACACAGGCCTTTAATTTCACTTCCTTCCAAAACCTCAATTTTGTCTTCTATTTTAAGGACATAAAGCTCAAAAAACCAGAGAGAGTGGGAGAAGGTACAGCAATAGATTTTTGAAGTCTAGAAAGCAGATCAACAAAGGAAAATGACTTGACTGATTCAAGAAAATCAAAGGGAAGGCCAAGAACAATTCTTTTTTTTTTTTTTTTTCAACGTTTATTTATTTTGGGACAGAAGACAGAGCATGGTGGGGGAGGGGCAGAGAGGGAGACACAGAGATGGGAGAGCAGGCTCAGGCTCCCAGACCCATCAGCCCAGAGCCTGGCGGGCTGAACTCCGCGGACCCATGAGATGTTGACCTGGCTGAAGTGGAATGCCGACCCTAAGCCCTTAGTAGCCCAAGTATTAATTCTTAAAAGGCTTAGGAAGTGACAGCTCCAGGCACCTCCGGAAGTGGGGAGTAAAAGGAGGGGCTGAAATAAGGAAGATTATTTGAAGGCTGATTGAAAAACAACTGGGTCTCCAAATCCCTGTCCCCTGTGTGCCCCTGAGTGACCTCCCCTCCTCCACCATGGCAGATCTCTATAGATTTATTCCCTGAAAAGAGTTTCTGGACTGGGAGGTATCCAGACAGAGAAAGGCAGAGATATCATTACTGAAAATAGGGGCATTAAGTGAATGATGCATACTAATGTTGAAATTTAGCTCCTAGCTCTAATTCCTCCAGGAATTCAGTTAGGCTTTTATTCTCAGGAGACTGGAGGAATTCTCTGAGCAAAATAACCAGCCTAAGAGGAAAGAGCTGAACCTACAGATTTGGGAGGATAGTTCCCCAAATCATGGCCCAGTGAGATCTTCCTGTAGTTAGGCTCACCATCAGCAAGTCCCTCTCAAATATACAGATTCAAATCACCTGTTTAAGTTTCCTTCTCAAAACATAAATTAATAATTTGGGATTAAATTATTTATTAAATTATTAAATTATGTATTAAATTAAAGAAGCCTGAGAACATTGCTATGAAGTGAATTGTGTCTCCCCCACCACCCCCCCAAATTCATCGCAATGTTCTCAGGCTTCTTTTAATTCTAAATTATTAATTTATGTTTGGGGGTTATATTGAAGCCCTAATCCCCAATGTAACTGTATCTGGAGACGGGGCCTTTTGGAGGTAATTAAGGCTAAATGAGGTCATAAGGGTGGGACACAAGTGTAATAGAATTAGTGTCCTTATAAACAACGACACCAAAAGAGCTCTCTCCCCTCTGCACAGGGCACACAGAAAGAAATCTAGTGAACACAGTGAGAAGGCAGTCATCTACAAGGCAGGAGAGACCTCTCACCAGAAACTAAACTGGCCAGCACCTTGATCCTGAACTTCCCAGCACTCCAAAACTGCCAGAAATAAATTTCTGTTGTTTAAGCAACCCAGTCTGTGACATTTTGTTATGGTGGCCTGAGTTGACTAGTACAAACATCTCCAACAAACCAAAAAGAAAAATTGCAATAGGGAGGAAATACCCTATGCAGGGAAAAAAATAGTTCAAAAAACTATCATTAGAGAAATGAAAACATATATCCACACAAAAACTTGTACATGAATATTCATAGTAACATCATTCATAATAGCTCCAAAGTAAAAACAACCCAAATGTCTATCAAAAAGAATAAAAGACGTATGTCTACGCAAAGACTATTATCCAGTAATAAAAAGGAATGAAGTACTAATACATGATATAACATGGATGAACCTTTAAAACATTATGCTAAGTGAAAGAAACCAGTCACAAAAGGCATTTTGCATGACTCCATTTATATGAAATGTAGACAATAGGCAGATCTACACGGAGTAGATTAGTGATTGTCAAGACTGGATGGGGAAGACAATGGGAAAATTGGGGAGTGATAGTTAAAGGTTACAGGATTTCTTTTTGGTGAAATGAAAATGTTCTGATCAATGATGATTGCACAACTCTGTGAATATATTAAAACCACTGAATTGTATACTTTAAATAGGTGAATTATATCTCATAATGCTGTTACGAAAAAATGAAAACTTGACAACTTAAAAAAATTTTAAAAACTTTAGCTCCACAACCATACCAAGTACTCATGTAAGCGTTAAAAGAAAATAATTAAGTTGGGCTGTATTTGTCTGACATGGAAAGATCCCCAAGACTTATTGTTAAGTGCAAAAAGCAAGTCAAAAAGCCATATATCAAATGTTATAACATTTGGGTAAAACAAAACCACAAAATAAAATTCTCTCTTTACACACACAAGTGTGTGCGCACAGACACAAATGCAGAGCAAAAGTTTTGGCAAAGATAACTGGAAAAAAATTGTAAATAGTGATGTAGGAAAATTTTCCTACATATTTACAAAACCTTATAAATAGTACAGAATAAAATAAAGGCAGATAGAAACTCCAGGAAAAACAAAAAGTGGTAAGAAAGAAAATGTAACCGTAATGATTACTGCTTTGGCAATAATCAACACTTACACAGTAACTTAAAAAACAAACACACAAACAAAACAACAGTAAAAAAAAAATCCAATTAGAAATCAGGCAAAAGACAAAAACAGATATTTTGTTGAAGAAGATATATAAATGGGAAATAAGCACGTGAGAAAAATGTAAGATGTTCAACCTCAGTATCCATTGGGGAAATGCAAATTGAGACCACTATGTGATGTCACAGTGCACCTATTAAAACAACTAAAATAAAAAATATCGACAATACCAGATGTTGCCAAGAATGTGCAAAAACTGAATCTCTCATACACTGGTGAGGAGAATGTAAAATGGTACAGTCACTCTGGAAAATAGTTTCTAAAAAAACTCATATATGCTCACATATGACCCAGCAACTACACTTCCAGGCCTCTATCCCAGAGAAATGAAAATGAACATCCACACAAACAGCTGTACCCAAGAGTTCGTCTCTTTATTTATAATAGCCTCAAACTGAAAACAAGCAAAATATCCTATAATAAGTGAATGGGTAAACAAACCGTTATACATCCATGCCCCAGAATCCTAACCAGCAACAAAAAGGAACAAACTATTGCCATAAGCCACAACTTGGATGTGTCTCAAGGACATTAGTCTGAGTGAAAAAAAGCCAATCTCAAAAGGTCACATATGGTGTGATCCCACTTATGTAACATTCTCAAATAATAAAATTACAGAAATGGAGAACACATTAGTGATTGCCAGCGGTTAGGATGAGGAGGAGGAAAGTGGATGGGACTAGGAAGGGACAGAACGAGGGAGATACCTGTGGTGATAGAATAGTTCTGTATTTTGATTACAAATATAAACCTGTGCAAATCTGGATTAAATCTACACAAGTGAAAAAACAGCCTAGCCTAGAACTATACATGTATTATATAAATGTCAATTTTATGGCTTTGATAGTATACTAACATAAAATATAATCAGTGGGGCAAATTGGGTAAAAGTACATGGGACTGTACTGTTTTTGCAACTTCCTGTGAACCTATAGTTATTTCAAAATGAAAAGGTTTTTTTCTTTTTTCAGATTTTATTACTTTTTCTTTTAGTGTTTATTTTTGAGAGTGAGAGAGAGAGAGCACACGCACATGCATGAACGACCAGGGAGCAGGGGAGGGACAGAGAGATAGGGAGACAGAGGATCTAAAGCAGGCTCTGCACTGACAGCGAAGAGTCCAACACGGGGCTTGAACCCACAAACAGTGAGATCGTGACCTGAGCCAAAATCAAGAGTCGGATGCTAAACCAACTGAGCCACCCAGGCACCCCACAATAAAGTCTTTTATAAGGACACATCAGGGTCCAAAGCAGAGCTCTTAAGAATTAAAAACATGATGGCAGAGGGCGCCTGGGTGGCGCAGTCGGTTAAGCGTCCGACTTCAGCTAGGTCAGGATCTCGCGGTCCGTGAGTTCGAGCCCCGCGTCGGGCTCTGGGCTGATGGCTCGGAGCCTGGAGCCTGTTTCCGATTCTGTGTCTCCCTCTCTCTCTGTCCCTCCCCCGTTCATGCTCTGTCTCTCTCTGTCCC